GACTTTCGAGGGGACACATTCAAATCATAGTGCACTTCACTCCACTCTCCCTTTAAAGAAAAGAGATCTAGCTGTTTATCTCAAAGAAACAGAGGGAGGGAGAGAGAGAGAGTCTTCTACCACTTCACTCCTCAAGTGCCCACAACTGCTGGGCTAGTCCGGGCTGAAGCTGGGGGCAAGAACTCCATCTGGGTCTTCCATGTGATGGGTAGGAGCCCAGGCACCTGGCCCTCCACCTGCCGCCTGCCAGGGCGTGTTAGTGGGAAGCTGGAGCAGAAGTGGAGCGCTTGGGTGTGCACATTCCTGGTCACACACACCCCTCCTCTGACCCGGTAGCACTTTCCCGGCCCTCCACCTTGGCGTCTACCTCGCAGCCTGAGACCCTGACCACAAGCAGCCCTTACTGTGCATCCCCATCACTGTCCTGCCCGTAGCTTCCTCGGGGCCTTGCAGAGCCACCCTGAGGACAGCCCTGCGGCCTCCTTTGCATCCTAGGGTCATGCTCTTGTGTCTGGAGCCCCCAGTTCTAGGCTCCTTTGAAGCTCCAGGCACTCAGGGTACAACCACCACTGGCATTAGCCAATGTGTATCCATGAACACCCACTGCCCTCCTGCCACCAAGGCCTGGGCTGCACCCTTGGCCCTGGTGGTCTCCTGTGGTCCCCTCGGGGTGGAAGTTATAATCTAAGACATGAGAATGCAGATTTTTTTTTAAAGTAAACTTGCTGAAATGGAAAATGAAGGAACTATTCCTTGGATATTTCAAACCTCACACAAAACCACCTATTTATTTCCTTTTGCCTTTACTAGGTAGAATATAAAATCAGAGGCAAAGCTTAAAAAAAAACTGGAGTAGAAAATATGAACACAAGTAATTTTTTAAAAAGTATAGAGTAGGGTTCGCTTTATGGCCTAGCAGGTGAAGCCACTGACTGCAGCATGGGCGTTCTGTGGGGGTGCCCGCTCCTGTCCAGGCCGCTCCTCTGATAATCCAGCACCTGGGACAGCAGCTGAGGATGGCCCAAGTGTTTGTGACCCTGCCACCCAAGTGGCAGACCCGGAAGAAGCCCCTGGTACCCGATTTCAATCTGGCCCAGTCCAGGACATTGAGGCCTTCTGGGGAGGGAACTAGAAGACAGAAAATTGTCTTTCTCTCTGACTTTCAAATGAATCAATAATCTAAAAAAAAAAAATCCATAGAGCAAATCTGAGGATTCCGCTTTCTTTAGGATATGCCTTTTGCTTTAATAAGGAGAAAATTACATCTTTTGCTTTATTAACCTCTAACTACTAATTAGCATTTCTTTCAAGAAGCTTCTGTGGTTTGCCAACAAAAGGCATCCTACTAATTTCACGTCTACTAGTGTTTGGGGCAGATGTCTACATGTGCGTCATTATTTAATATGCGACTCGCTGTTAGATTCTGTTATTTAATGCCTAAGGAAGCACACACGCATGCTACATCATCGTGTTAAATAAAAACTTCTTTGGTAACTAGGCATTTGCTTTCATTTGTCTTATTTTGTGCAATTCCACAATTCTGGGCAGTCCACCACCGTTGTCGAATTGTCTAAGGGATCCAGAACCCAGAAGGAGTTAATGGGTTCATTTTCACCTGTTACACATAAAGGCAGATTTTACTGAAGCTTAAATCATGGCTACACTGACAATGGCTCCCTCCTGCCAGACGGTGAGGTGTTAAGAGACGTTCTTGAACTTGGCACATCTGCTAGCTCTCCAGGCTCCTCTTTACCTTGTTTTTTTTTAAAATTTATTTTTTATTTTAAAGGTAGATTTACAGACAGAAGGACAGGGAGGGAGAGAAAGAGAGAGACCCTTAATGGCCTCATTGGCTGCAGCTGAGTCGGGAGCGCCTTCCAGGTGGGTGCAGGTTCACAAGGATTCAGTCATCCTCTGCTGCCTTCCCAGGCCACAAGCAGGGAGCTGGAAGGGAAGTGGAGTAGCTGGGATGCCTGTGCTCACAGGAGGATTGGCAAATGAGCCATCGCACCAGGCTCCTGCTCTCTGAAGCTTCCATGGCTGGGTAAGTGTCCCCGTCAGCCAGACACAGCAGGAAGTCTGCTCTCCTCTGTTGCCTCCTATTTGGAGGTGAAGACAGAATCCATGGCTTCTGCACCAGGTCTTGAGGCTTTGGCAGAGTCAAGTGAAGGAGCTCAGTATGTGGGGTCCCCACCCCACGACTCCCCCAAAGGTGAAGAAAGGAGTCCCCGCCCAGGATGCAGCTGAGAGTAAGGTGGAGTGTGGGAGCAGGAGAGGGGCTGAGTGTATCACACAGGAAGGTTCTGGGGAAGGAACGGGAAGGAAGAGGCAGGGGGATCAGAGGAGGCCAGGGCAGAGCTGAGTCTGTTGCCCTGTGGACACCAGGCACGACTGCCTGCCCGGCTCACTGGACTGGATGACAGTCGGGGAAGGCCAAGGCAGGGACTTAGCAGCAAGAACGCCAACCTTCCCTTGGGACTGCAGAGCATGGTTCTTCTCGGAACCTTTCCCCTTTAATACCCGATTCCGCAAAATGTCTACAAACGCCGTAACTTTGTGAGTCAATTACTGTTAGCAACAGCACTGAGGTCAAAGTCTGTGTGGGTAACAGACTGCAGCTTAGAAAGTGTCCTGGCATGTCGGGCAGGAGGACAGTTCATGTCCACATGGGAAGTGGCCTCTCCAGCGTATGTCAAGGTCGCCCGGATTTTTCTTTGTCTAAGTTGAGGATTGCCTGGAAGAGTCCTTCATTCTGAGCTGGAAGACAGCCCGTGTCACCCACATCTCACTGCAAGGGAGGCTGGGGTGGCAGACTTGTAGCCTGCCCAGGAGAGAAATGGCTCTGGTGGGACTCAGAAGACCCCAGCAGCAGGGGCTCCCAGCCTTGTGTTGGCAGAGGTAGACAGAGGGCATGGAGATGGCCCAGCTGGCTTCCTTCCCCACATGACAGTCCAACAAGCCACACCTGGAGGCCCAGGGAGGGGAGGCTGTGTGTTGAGTGAACTGTGGCCCTCACAGCGGCTTGCTGTGAACATGACCTGGCTGGCAAACAGGATCTATGTTGACATGGCCAAGTTAAGACAATGTCACACATCAGTGCAGGCCCCAAGTCCACAGACGGTGGTCTGAGGACAGAACGGGACATGGCCAGACACATGGGGCCCTGTGACATGACAGTTGTTCTAAGACCAAGCTCCCATCCCTTCCCCCAGGCATGTCTGTGGCCAGGAGCCTTTGGGGGGTGGGGAGTGGGTAAAATCCCTGCTTTTCCTATTAGCTGTTGTTTGAGGACCACACAGAGCCTGTTTCCAAATAGAAGACAGGTGCAGGCAGAGCTGTGGGTGTGGGCACGGCTGTAGGTACCTGGGACTGCTAGGTGCGGGCAGGGCTGTGGAGCTAGGGATGAGGACTGGGCTGGTGGCTGCGGGCAAAGTTGTGGGTGCAGGTGGGGTCAGCATGAACACGCAGAGGGTTGGCTGGCTTGAGCTCACACAGGGCCCTTGGCCGTGGATGAGCCCCTGGTGCGTGGATGAGCCCTTGGCCATGGATGAGCCCTTGGCGGTGGATGAGCCCCTGGTGCGTGGATGAGCCCTTGGCCATGGATGAGCCCCTTGGCCGTGAATGAGCCCCTTGGTGGTGGATGAGCCCCTGGCACTTGGGGCCGACTCCATGCTCACGCGTCCTGCGTGAATGCAGCAGCTGCGCCGTCCCCAGGCCTGTCATTTTGGTGAGGCTGCTTCCTCCTAAGACTGAAGCTGTTTCTCCACAGGTTTCCCCAAGCACCTGCTCCTGCCCACGCCCCTGGCTGGGCTTGCTCTGCACTGAGCGCATGGCAGCCCCTCCAGGAAGATTCTTGGCACCCAGCAGTAGCTTGGCCCTCCCCTGTGGGTGGAGGCTGTCAGTTCCAGGAGCAGGGAGTGAGGGAAGGTGCAGGCAGAGGCCCGCTTCCCCTAGGATGCCGTACAGCCGGTCTCCACGTCACAGGCAGGGATTGTACCAGTTCTGTGCCCACAGCCAGGACAAGGGGCATGTGCCGCTGGCCTCTGGGCAGCCACGGGCCCGGGAACCGTGGGGTCTGCACGCTAGGGTTCACTTTCACTGAAGTTTGGATGTCTACAGAACACACACACACACACGCTGAACAGGTTAAAATATCCACATAAAATTTACTGCAACTTTCGTAGAATTTGATTTGTGCTACAAGAAGAGTTGCATAGGAAACTATGTAAAGCCCCTGAGGAGAAACATTGGTGGTTTAAGGTGCGACTGGTTTTGCTTTTTCTTTGGGGACCAGGTGAGAGGGTGCGTCTTGGGAGCAGTGTGGCGGAGGGTGGGGAGTGTCATGTCTGGAATCTTCCGTGCCAGGGTGGGTGGTTCCGGGACAGTGTCTTAGCCCTGCACAGGGAATGCTTCCACTGGACCAGGAGATGCACGTATTTTGAGGCCGTATTTTAGCAAATGAGATTCAGGAACCCCAGTTGGGGTCACTGTGCCCTGGACAAGCACACGGCATTTCCAGGCATATCTCGGGTGTCTTCCTCCGTGCACCTGCCGGGCATCACTTCTGCCTCTTGCTCTTTCCACAGGCACCTCAAGCACAAGCAGGTGCAAGGTTCAGCCCAGCAGGCTCCAAGCTGACCTGCCCACCATGCAGCAGCCCTTCCCAGAGGCCCCTGCTTCTCCGTGGGGATGCACTCTCAGGGGATGCTCGCCCGGCTCAGGTGATGTTTACAGATGGTGGTACTTTCAGGGACACGTGAGGGGGGGAGCAGCTGAACTGGGATGACACCCGGGGTGGAGGGCGGCAAACATGGCTGGCACGTTGGTGCATCAGCATGCGATGACACCCGGGGTTAGCCAGGACACCTGTCGGGGCCTGCCATGAGTAGGAAGCCACCAGGGCTTGCACTAAGCCACCTCCATTGGGTGTGGGGGAAGTAGTGCCTGGCCCCCGAGGGGGAGAACAGTGCCCTGGCCTTCTGGCGCCACGTGGGTCCCAGGTCTCAGGCTGTTGCTTCCTGCGTGTTTGGCGGGGCCACCTTAGGTTGGCTGATCACTCACGCGGGAGCCGAGATCTCGCTGAAGTGGTCACTGAGCAGAGGGGGAGGCCCAGACCAGAGCGGGGGGCAGGGCCCGTGCTCTCAGAATAGAGGGACATGACTGCACCCCGAACCTCTTCTCAGGGGCTCATGGGGCGCAGTCCGTCCAGCACACCCACAGGTGTCGGCTTGTGCTAGGGGTGGGGCTGAAATGCAGAGTGTGGCCATGACCTGGACTGCCCAGTGGCCCTTAAATACCTATATACACCTGTCACATAATTTAAAAAGGCCTTTTGGACAACATAAAAATCAACAGCATCTGCCCCTGATTTTTTTTTAAAACCTTTATGATCTATTAAAAAAAAAAAACAAAAATGGACACCACCTTTCTTGTTTGTGTCCCCCTCCCCACAGTCATTAAAAAAAAAAAACAAAAAAAAATGAATTTCCATTTAAATTTACACCAAACAGATAGAAAGCTATTTGATTGGCAATGACCTGCAGTATAAAACCCCCTGGGGCCGTCCCAGGAGAGAGGCGGGGAGCAGGGCGGTCCTGGGTGTGTCTGAGTCTCCCCAAGACCCCCAGCTGCAGCTCCATGGTAACGACTGCTCAGGCTCCCAGGACCCCGGGGCGGGCAGGGCTGGCACAGGAGGGCACCGCTCAGATGACCAGGTCCTCGGGGTCTGTGGGGCTGAAGGCGGCCGCCCTGAGCACGTCCAGGGAGTTGACCAGGATGAGGGTGCCCGTGAGGTGCTTCCAGCGCTTGGTGATGGGGTTCCTCATCCTGTCCAGGCCCGTGTGCAGCTCCTGGATGACGTCGCGGTAGCTGTCCCCGACCTGCTGGCTCCAGGTGAGCAGGAAGTCATACGCGGGTTTCCACATGGCCTGGGTGGAGGGGGAACGAGTTAGGGCACGGAGCGCCTTACCTGCACTCTTCCTGGGGAAGCACGGACCCCAGAGAGGTCCTGCTAGGTCCTCGCTCCGGCTCCCGACCCCGGCTTTCTGCCAACGTGCACCCTCGGAGGCAGCTCAAGCAATCGCAGCAGCATTCCTTTTTATGAATTATTTATTTCAAAAGCAGAGAAAGAGTGGCCTACTCCCCAAATAACCGTATTGGAGGAGCTGGGTAGGTCCGAGCCAGGAGCCAGGAGCTTCTGGGCCACGTGGGTGCAGGGACCCAGCCATGTGTGCCATGCCCAGCTGCTTTCCATGCACGCCAGCAGCGAGCAGGACCGGAAGTGGAGCAGCATGTCTGTGACATGCTCACAGCACTCGGCAGTGGTATTGTTCTAGAAACCCGAGTGCACACTTCCTCAGCAAGGCCTCAGCCAGCCTGGCTGGGGAGGACACAGGGTCCTGGGGGCTCTGAGGATGCCACAGCCTCTCTTGCAGGAGACAGCTCAAGGTGGAATTACTGGGGACAGGTGACCTGCAATCCTGGCTAATGCAGGACCGGCCTTGTTATCTTTAGTACCCAGGCCCCCAACTCACAGCCCCGTCCCCTGACCATCACTTGTCACCTCACTTCACCCACTCAGGCATGCCATGGGGTGACCCTTCCCTGCTGCCCCCGGGTGGTTGGGCTGAGGGAGCCCCTCGAAGCCAGGCAGCACTGCTCACCTACCTCACTGTCCACCACCCCGTTCCTGTCCCGGTGGGGAGACTCGTACGCATCCATCTGCTGCCTGGAGACCTTGGCCAGCTTCTCGGCCAGTTCCCGCCAGCGCTGGGCCACCTCGACAGCCGTGGTCAGGAGCACAAAGTCCTGGATGAGCCGGACCACCAGCCCTTGGCAGTCCATCTTCAGTAAGGCCTGAGCGGAGGAAAAGGCATGGTGTGAGGCAGGGCAGGACCGTACTGGCCTCCTGGGATCCCCGCTGCCCCCGACCCCGAGAGCCCCAAGGCCTGGCAGCCAGGCCTGAGCTCCACCTGGTGCTGCACCTAGTGGGGAGGGAGGATGTGGAGGAATTCTGGGCCGGAGGGCAGCCGCGTCCCAAGTTCATGTCCCTCTGGAACCTTAGGGTCTTGTGAAAGCAACTGGTTAGGATGAAGATGTGCAGGACTGAGCGCAACAGGAAGAGGACATGGAGACGCTGAGGGCTGAGAGTGGACGCGCAGACTGGATGGGACGGGATGGCAAAGGGCAAGGCGGGCTGGCACCGGAGTGGGGGAGACACATGGAGGGGGCAGAGGGACAGGACCTGCAGCTGAGGGTCAGAGCAGCGGGCATCCAGAAGGTACAAGAAGCCCCGCCAGGCAGCCCAGTGATGACCACACGGCCGGAGAGGATCCCAGGGTCAGCCCTCCTGGGACAGGCCCCACCCTCAGTGGAACTGCACTTTTGGTAAAGCTGCAAGGACTGACATGGAGCCTCCGGGGCACAAGGACGGACCAGCAAGGGCAGGGATGCCTGGCTCCTGGAGGGAGGGCACACCAGCCCAGACTGCCCTGCAGGGAAGTGTTGGGTCCACAGTCCTCCCACCTGGAGGCAGAGGCTGAATCAGACTGGCATGAGCATGGCTCAGCTTTGGTGTGCAGCTCCATTTCTAGGTGAAAACTACGATTCTCTCCTGGCATGTGCGGGTGAAACCCTCCGGTGCCTGGGGGCACCAAGTTCAGAGCATAAAGACCTGAGGAACAGGCCCTGCCTGGACCCTACCCGGGGAGCCACGCGGGCCTGCCCAACCCTCCTGGGGCAGCCACACGGGCCTGCCCGATCCCTCCCGGGGAGCCACACGGGCCTGCCCGATCCCTCCCGGGGAGCCACGTGGCAGAGAATGAATAGAGGCTGAACGTCCGATGCCAGTGGCTCCCTCCCATGGGCCACACCCTCCACTGAGCTGAGCCGTGTGCTGCTTTCCTACAAAGCTGCCCGCAGTGCCCATGGTGGCAGTCCGTTGTTTTTCTACAGAGAGTAAATTGGGTACTCCCCGGTTTTTAGTGACAGGTTGAACTCCCGTTGGGAGCCCCAGGCTCTGGGGAGCTGCTCCCCGTAGCCTCCTGGGTGATTGCTAGGCACACCCAGACACATAGAGGTGCACTAGAAAGTGCCATGATGAGCCTGGCTGGGATGAGGTTCATCTGAGGGAACTTTGACAGGTTGGGGTGACCACACTGTGTGGACGAGGGAGAGGCCCCCAACTCTGGATGGGGGCTAACAGCAGCCACACACAACACGTAGAGACTGGGGGTTTGGCTGCATGTTTTACCAGCTTTCACTGTCACCACACTGGGACACTGGGAGGAGGGCGCACAGCTGGGGCAGGTGCCTGGCCAGCACCTGGACACCCAGGCCCCCAGGGCACTGCCTGGGTTTGATTATTTCTGGCTGCTGCTTCAGCTTCCTGCTGGGAGGCTCAGTACAGGAGCCAGTCACTATGTGGCACCTAGATGGCCTGACCCTCCGGCCACTGACTGCTGGCTCTGGATTGGAAGTGGGGGTGACAGCCAAGGGGCTGCTTGCACTGACTTGCCAGGTGTCCCCAGCCCAGTAGCACTGCCCAGGAGGAACAGCCTGCTAGCTTCCTGGGAAGGGGTGGGTGAGGGGTGAGAGTCAGTTCTGCTCTCCCACGGGCGGGGGTGGTGGTGCTGACTTGGCCTCTGAGTGGCTCATAGACTGCGGGAAGCGGACAAGGGGTGGGGCACACACATCAGGTCAACTTGGGCGCAAAGCCCACCCATCAAACCTTCCCTCCAACACTGAGCCCCCTCAGATCAGTCCTACACGAAACAGGAGCATCGGCCTGCAGGGCCTGCCAACCCTGGCCTCCTGCTGGGTCTTGGCCAGCTCCACACTCTAGCCCACTGCCCCGGTGATGCCAGCGACTGGCTGAGGCCCTGCCTGCGGCCACTGCTCCCGCCGGCATGCACTCACACACCTCCATTCATGCACCGGAGCCCCAGTGTTCATGTGTCAGGTCCACCGACAGCAGTAGTGAGACACACACACACACCATCTGTGAGGACGGTCACGTGGGGCGAGGTGCTGGACCAACAGGACACGCGGCTGCAGAGGTGGCAGCACTGGCAGGAGAGGAAGCCTTGTCCCAGCAGAGGGGGGCAGGGTGGGCTGGCTTAGAGGCGGCCAGCATGGTGGGGGAGTCAGGAGCTGTCCCAGGGCCTGAGGGGCAGGGAAGGAGTCACCCCTCTGAAGGCAGGAAAGACAGAAAATTCACTTGTTGGGGCTCCTTGTCCTTCCTGACCAACCCCCCCCGCATGCCTGCTGTTGGAACCCTCCCCTTTCCAGCTCATCTGAGCGGGGATTCCAAACCCGGGAGCCTGACAGGTGGCACGGGTGATCTGAAAGCTGGCATGTGGGTGTGCGGCAGGGGTGGGGGAAGGAAGGGTTGGACAGAGCGCAGTTTCCAGGACCCCAACTCCTCTGCTATGGTCTAGTGGCTGGAGATGTGGCAATTCCCAAACCACCTGCCCTGAGACGGTCAGGGGAGCAGTGACACGGTGTCACCAAGGACCACAAGCTGGCTTAGAAGCCTCCAGGTCCAGCTGCGACCCAGGTCAGTCCCACTTCCTCCTCTAGGGCCCCCATCCTTCCTGTGCACTGCAGGAGGGGGACAGAAAGGACTTCCCCCAGGAGTCCGCTCGCTGACACATGGGTGTGCAGAAGCCGCTGGCTCTGCTGCAGGTGAGGGCTCTCAGGTCCTGTCCTGTGCCCAGTCAGCTAGCACTCAGCTGCAGGCAGAGCCCAATCCACTCCAGCCAAGGCCCTGGAAAGCACAGGCTGTGGTGGCCCCGGGCCAGCAGCTCCGCCACGGGGAGCTCACACTCTGCCTCCCTGGACCATCACGCTTTGGGGAAGGAAGCAACAGGTGTTGTCCCTGGAGATGAGCCAACCGAGGGTCCAGGGACGGCCCTGAGGGCTGGCTCTCTACTGTGGCTGCTGCCACGCAGGTTCCTAGGGACCCCGGGTGGTGAGGCTGCCCTTCTAGACCACCACCTGTTCCACATCCCCATGCCTGCCCAGGGAGACCGCAGGCTGTTGTCTGCTCATGTTCCTGTCGGTCACCAGCCACACACACTCTGTGTACACAGTGGCACCGGGTGTGTGCAGGGTGCCAGCCTTGCCCACACACCTGGGTCGACTCCCAGGCAGCCCTGGCTCCTGTGGTCTGAGAGGCACTGGCATAGAAGGGCAGGTACTGGGTAGAGGGAGGGAGGGGATGAGAGTGTGGGCATGGAGTTGCTGCCTGGGGTCGGTGGGACAGGACGGGACAGTGTCTGAAATGCTGCGAGGGTTTCCCCAGGAAGCACTGGAACCAGTGGTGGCCCCAACCAGGAGCTTAGGAGCAGAATCTGCTGCCCTGGGAGACGGTGGACGGACAGCAGGTGTGCTGCAGGTTCCCGCAGGGATGCGAGGTCAGGCGCAGGACGGAGCTGCTCAGGGACACGCTACATTCAGAGCTCGAGCTGCCGGGAAGTGGGGAGTGTCTAGGACGGGCAGTGCGTAGCCTAGAGTGTGACGTGTCACCTCCTGCTTCTTAGAATTCTAACTCCCCGCTGTGTTGTCCTCATTCCCGGCTCAACACCCACAGCGTGGGAAGAGAATACGGCCATGAAGTTGCTGTTATTGGAGGCTCCGAGGAGAACGCATGACCAATAAAGCCGGGCCCTGGGGTGGGGTTTCTAAATGAAAACTTGTAGTCCCGGACCCTATTGAGAATGTGGTAAGGGGCAGATCTCACCCCAAGAGTGCTGTCCCTGGGTGTACCTGCTGCCGCCCCAGGTCCCTGCTGAGCTGGGAGCTCCCAAGGAGGGGAGAGAGGCGTGGACTGCCCCACAGGAGTTCCTGGAATCAAACACACACACTCCCACCCTACACAGGAGCCCACTCTGACCTTGCTTGTGGACGCTGGGGGGCTGAGCAGCAGCTACGGACCAGCCTAGGGCTAAATGCACCCAGGGGCAGCCTGGGCAGCAGCGGCAGCCCCGCCAGGCACTCGCCATCATGAGCTCCTTGTGGTCAGTGCAGCCCCGGGCAGCAGCCGCAGCCCCGCAGCCCCGCCAGGCACTCGCCATCATGAGCTCCTTGTGGTCAGTGCAGCCCCGGGCAGCAGCGGCAACCCCGCCGGGCACTCACCATCATGAGCTCCTTGTGGTCAGTGCAGCCCCGGGCAGCAGCCGCAGCCCCGCCAGGCACTCACCATCATGAGCTCCTTGTGGTCAGTGCAGCCCCGGGCAGCAGCCGCAGCCCCGCCGGGCACTCACCATCATGAGCTCCTTCTGGAAGGACTTGCGATCCTTGTTCTCGGAGTTGTTGCAGTCCTCCTTGAGCTTCTCCAGCACCGAGGCCACGCGCTCAGGCTCGCTGTCCAGCTCGGCCCGGCAGAAGCAGGTGAGCGGCAGGTCAGCGTAGCCCAGGGCGTCTGCAAAGGCGCGCCAGCTGCTGATGTTCTCCATGAGCAGGGTGCGCACCGAGGCGTAGATGTAGGTGAGGAACTTGCACGGCCGCAGGATCTGCTCCAGCAGCACCGCCGTGCTCAGCTCGGGCCCCGAGACCAGGCCCGGCTGGCCCTTGCCCAGCACCAGCACGTTCTTGGCATGCACCAGGCCCACCCGACCCTGGTAGTAGCCGATGTACCACTCCTTGGTCCACAGCTGGCCCTTGAGCCGCACGCGCTCCTCGCTGAGCAGGGCCACCACGTCGCCCTTCCGGTATTCCAGCAGGTAGTGGTTCTTGCTCTGTCGTACCACCGTCTTGAGCAGCTTGCCCAGCTTGAGGCTGGACACAGGGCGGTCCTGGAAGGTGGGGTACTTGGTGGTGGCGGCAGCCAACGGGGACAGGATGATCTTGCCCACCTCATTCTTCTTGAGAAAACGCCGGGGCCCCGACGGCTTGACGGCGCCCTTGGGTGGCGGGGGTGGCGTCTGCACGCAGAACTGCGTCAGGATGGCCTCCTGGTCATCCTTGAGCTGCACTCGCAGCGTGAAGTCTGACAGCTCGCCGGGGTTCTGCGAGGCAATGGGGAAGACAAGCCGGCTCACCCGGCCCAGCTTCATCTGGAAGCCCCGCACCACCTTGGCCTGCTCGCTGGCCTTGACCTCAAAGTTGGTCATGTTGGAGAACAGGCAGACGGTGAGGTCCTGAGGCCTGCACAGCGTGAACTGGTGCCTGCCCCACAGCTGCAGAGCCACGGGGGCGGGGCTGGGAGCCTGGCGGGTGACCTCGCTGACCAGGAGTGTCTTTGGGGCACAGTCGTGCCCGAAGACGGTCACCACCGTCTTGAAGGAGGGGTGGATGTGTTTGGGGCCGTAGAGGCCCACGGTGACCTTCTTGTGGATGAAGTCCCACACGGTGGCAGGGTAGAGGATGCTGGGGCCGTGGGCGACGATGGCCAGGTACATGCAGGGCTCCAGGCTGTCCAGCTGCACCTGGACTGTGTCCCCGTAGCTGTAGGCGAGGGGCAGGGCGGCGTAGGGGCCCTCCTTGGCATCGCTCCGCAGGCACTGCAGGCCCACGGTGCTCTTGCTGACGAGGTCGCTCTTCACCTCGGCCGAGACCTTCATCTCCAGCATGATGAAGGTCTTCACCTCCAGGTTGCTGAGCCGTACCTCCAGCACAGGGCTGATGCTGCTGCACCTGTCGCTGTTGAGCTCCAGGGGAGGGTCCAGCAGGGCCTTCATGGAGATCTGCTGTGTCTCCCCGGGCGCCACGTGGCCCTCCGGCACGTGGATGCTGATGCCGGTGTCGGGCAGCTGCACGGCGCCCCCGGAGCTATCCAGCCGGCACACGGTGCTCGTCTCCACGGCCTGCGTCTGGCCCCACCCCGGGCTCTGGCCGAGCAGATCCAGGTCGTGGCAAGAGCGGGCCAGCTTCCGGTGGTTCAGCCAGGCAGTTCGGAAGTCCTCCCGGCTCTGGAACTGCTCGGGGGCCGGGGACTTGAGGCCCGTGAAGAAGCCGGCGGAGGCGGGGGTGTCGGACTTGGCCTGTAGCACGGACAGTTCCGACAGGCTGTAGGAGCGCTTGCTGCGGAAGAAGGGGTTGTCCCGCCTGGCCGGCAGCTCTGCCTGCTGCCCGTTGGCGGCCGGGAGCTCGTCGAAGATGTTGCCAGTGCTGTTGGTGGTGGCAGAGCTGGATTCAGTGAAGGATGAGGCGCAGGGGTCAAAGAGCAGCAGATCCACCGCGCTCCTGGGGGTTGGCTCGTCCATGCCCGCTACGCTCCCGTCCAGGAACGGGTTTGTCTGGACTCCGTTCCAGAAGGGGTTGTTGCTGTGCGGCCTGCCCGGGCCTCTCTTGTCCTCAGCCCATGTGCCCAGCAGGTCCAGCTCCTGGGCCACCTCGTCAGGGCTGTCGGGCAGGTTGTCGATCATGCCACTGTCGCTCAGGGTAGAGCTGCGGTAGTTGAGAGGTTGAACGTAGGAGGCGGGGATGTAGCCCATCTCAGTGGTGTTGTGTGCGTACCACCACTCACCACCTGACGTGTCCAGCACGTACAGGTGGTCGCCCTTAGAAAACTTGAGCGTGGTGAAGTTGGTTGGGCAGTAGTCCCTGATGGCGACCACTTCCTTGGCATTTCCAAACGGCGTGGGGCTGTCGGCAAGCAAGGCACTGGGGGAAGGCACTGCACGGAACAGAGAGAAGCAGGTGAGGCAAGGCCTGGAGGAGCTGCTGGGCACTGCTGGCCAAAGCCCGGGTCGCGGCTCGCCTGCTCGAGGTGCCGCCCAGCCAGCGGTCTGCCGTGCCGTTGGCTCCCTTCCCGCCCAGACTGCCTTGGCCAGATGGAGGACCACGAAGAAGTGTCCAGCTGCGTGTCTACTCAACATGACTAGCACGTAACTCCACAGAACTGCTACCTGCTCTAGAGAGAGCCCGGCTCCGTCACATGTGTCCTGACTCAGCTGACAGTGCTGTGGGGGCTCAGAAGCTGTCCCCAAGGGCTCTGTCCCTCTGTTCATCATTGCTCTGCAATGTGCACATGGACCCTCCCTTGCTCCCCACTCCGACGCCCGGCCCCTTGGAGGGTCATGTTACTACTGAACAATTACTGACCACGTTAGCAAAATCCTAAGACCTCAGAAAGGGGGGAGTGGGTTAGTTTGGAGTTCTTGGCATTAAACTATTGATGGGACCAACACAACACTTGTAACGGCAACATGAAACCCCTCAGGGTCGGTGTTGTGGCACAGTGAGTTAAGCCACCTGCTCGCCATGTCCAAATCCCGTGAGTGGTAGCTCGAGCCCCAGCTGCTCCACTTTCGATCCAGCTCCCAGCCTGTGCACCTGCGAAAGCAGCATACGATGGCCTTAGTGGTTTGGGAAGGCCCAGGGTGTCCTGCGGATAGACCCTGTGAGCCTGCGATGATGGGTCAAGCAGCTGTGAGCCTGCCACCACGTGAGGCACCCAGTCTGCTCCATGTCTGCATCTAAATAAAAGGGACAAAAGTTCCCTGGCACCTGCTTTGGCCCTGGTTGCGTGGACCCAGCCGTGGGTACACCTTTTGCTGGGTGACTGCCCATCTTCCACAGCAGCCACCAGGGAGGAGCCACACTCACGCTGCCAGAGGCAGGGCTGGGACCCACCCTGGCTGTGCTGTTCTAGTGTCCAGTCACAAGCAAAACACATGATATGCAAGGCAAGGGATGGGAGTGAAAAACAAAGTAAAGAAAAAATGTTTTTAAGGCATGTATAGTTCAAAGTTTCCCTCCAGGGCTTCACTATTTGAGTCGGCTGACTGTGTGAGGGAGGAAGTTAGAAATGAGTCTGTGTGTGAGAGGGGCCTAAGCAGAACCGAGGCACAGCGGAAGCTTCTGGGAGACAGCCGGGTCGTTCACCCCACAAAGTCCTGCCCAGACCCCTGACCTTAGGAGGTCCAGCCTCCCCTCCTCGCCAGGAGAACCCTCTCAGTCCAGCATGACTTGGGGGACCCAGCCCAAGGAAGGCACCCCGGGCAGGGAAGCTCCTCTGCCCAGTGCCAGGCTAGTCACCCAGTCGGCTAGCACTCAACTCACACTCCCTCTGTCCTGGAGAAGAGGGTGGGGTGGGGGGAGGAGAACCGGGACCCACCCCCTTGGCAGCCCCTGTCTGAATACAGATGGTGCACTGAGCTCTCAGCTCTCCCCCTGAACCGCCAGCCTGGACTGCTGCGTGCAAGCTCTTCCCATTAAACAGTGTCACCTTGCTTTCTGCACCCCGAGCGGCCGGGCACCCGTGCTCAGGCTCTGACGGACGCCCTGCCATTACACCCTAACACCTTGCTGAACTCTCCCTGCCCCCCGTCTCATGTCCCAAGTCTTCCCTGCATGGAGACAAGAATGTGTCCTAGCACCTCCACTTAACAAAATGGGACAGCCCAAAAGGAGGAAAAGCTCAGGAATCTACGCAACCACAGCCTGAGTGATCCAGGAGCCACTACTGAGCACCCAAGGTGCAGGGTAGGATGCCGAGGGCCAGTGGGCACAGACAGGGGTGCTGAGAGCTGCCCACTGCTTCCAAAGGGTGCTCTGCAGCAAATCAGGCAAGAATTGGATCTGAGCTCCTTGGGGGTCTCTCCAGTACATGTCTTCCTCCTGGGCCAGTGCAGGGTCCAGGAAATGGGAGATGGGTTTCCTGCGGCCCGGCTGGCACAGTCAGCCAGAGGTTTGGTTTCTGTGATGACGCAGGGGGAGGATGTGGTGCGGGAGAGAGTCAGAGAGACTGGGCCTCAGGAGGGAGCGGTGGATGGGAGGAACAGGGGTGAGCCTTGGCCAAGTGCTCCCTCCCATTTCACTTTGTTTCCTTGCCACTTGTCTACTGGATGCCAAAACAAAGACCAAACAGAGACGCAATAAAGCTTGCTGGCCGCCCAAAAACCTTGTTAGAATCCCTCCAAAGTCACAGCCTAATTACACTGCCTGAATAATTCCTTTACAGTCATACTTTCAAAATTAAAAACCCAAAGCAATTAAGCTTTGCACGAGCTGGGAATGCAAATGAGCACTTGGCACTAGCAGACAGAGGGGTCCAAGCCCTCCTTTTGGAAGACAAGCAGGAAGACATTTCACTCCAAGGCCAGGCATGTCCAGCGGCCAACAGCCTCCTGCCCGTGGGGACCACTGGCAGGCGGGCAGTCCTGTGGCTCTGTCAGCCAGCAGGCACTCCAGCACATGGAGGCGCTCCTCATGCCATCAAATGCCAGGAAGTCCCCGTCCAGTTCCGTGGCCGTTCCGTCTCCCCCAGCCATCTCCCTCTCCCTGCCCACTGCTCCTCCCCCGGCTCACCTTTGACGTCACTGAGGCTGGTCTCAGGGAGGCCGTCGCTCAGGTCCATCAGGGTCCCCTCGGACTTGCACCGCGGGAGGCCGCTGGAGTTGGCCGCTCGAATCCGCTGGGCCGCCATCTCGGTCTCCTCTGGGGCCAGCTGCTAGGGGACCATGCCTCCTCTGCCTGGTACTCCAGCAGGGTTGAGATGTCTGTGTCAGGCACCTGCTCTGCACGGTGACGTCAGCCTGGCTGAGGGCTTGGCCCTGAGAGGGAGGGGAGAGAAGGGCAGGAGTGTTTATTGAGCAAAGGGAACCTGGCTTAGGCAGTCAAGTTGTGGGAAGGGTGAGCCTCTTCCAAGGCTTTCCAGAGATGCAAGCCCTGGACAGTGGAATGGTGGGCGCTGCTGGCACCTGGCCTGTCCATTCACCACAGAGGGACAGACCATGGGACGGTCCCAAGGTCTGCGGGGCTGCTTGGAAGACATGTTCCCACCCACATCCCCAGGAGGCCCCATGGTCAAAAACACCACAGTGTAACCCATGCACATGAACCAATGGCCGACCTCTCGACCCCCATGTTGCTTCCCAGCCTGAGAGGGTTCCCTGTAGAGCCTGTTGCAGAGCCACTGAACACATGACATCCACCACAAATGTGGCATGTCCTCTCTGCTGTGACCCACAGACAGGAAGTCCCGAGCTCAGGTTGGGGACTCAGCACTCCCAACGTGAGCACACAGTGAGGCCAGCAGGACAGGCCTCATTAGGAATCCCACCGACAAGTCCTCACTCCCCAGCCACTGCATCTCACTGTGTTCGGCCTGCGGAGCTTGGTTACGGAAGGACACAGGACAAGAAGTAGCTGTGGTAAAACCGCTGGCGGGGGAGGAGGCGTTTCCTCCCTTGGGCCTAGTGCGATGGCTCATGGCTAAACTTACACCTGCAAGACGGAATATGGTCCCAAATGGTCGCCAGTTTGTGCCCAGCTGCTCTACTTCCCATCTAGCTCCCTGCCTGCCTGTGGCCTGGGAAAGCAGTAGAGGATGGCCCAAAAGCTTGAGACCCTGCACCCAAGTGGGAGACCTGGACGAAGCTCCTGATCGGCTCAGTTCTGGCCGTAACAGCCACTTGGGGAGTGAACCAACAGATGGAAGATCTTTTTCTCTGTCTCTCCTTCTCTCCACAAATCTGCCTTTCCAATAAAAATAATGCTTAAAAAAAAAAAAGGTTACACCCTGAGACCCACACATGTAATCCTCCCCCTGGACTTGCACTCCAAGGTCTCCCTGGGGGCCGGGTGCACACCAGGGCTGACACTGCTGCCTCATGTGGGTCAGCACTTAGCCAGGTGACCACACTGCAGGGACAGGGGAGGTACTGGGGGAGGGGCTCTCCTGAGGTGGCAGCAGGGACTGCACCTCCTCCTCCAGCCCTCTCCCCACCCCTTGTTCCTGGTTCCAGCTGGGACACATTCATCAGAGGCCTTGTACTCCCCCTCCCCTACCTCTTCCAATCAGGCTGGGAGTGCAGGGGGAGTGTGCGGCTGAGCACCTGGGTCTGCAGGCCCACAGGCCCCAGGTCTTGGATGCAGCCATCGCTCCAGGGCACTGTGGCTAACTGCTCACTGCTGACCAAGTGGATAGAAACTGTGCGATCTTCAGGATCCTTTCCCGGAGAAAATCAACAGAGAGGGGATTCCAGCGAGTGGGCGGAAGTGGACAGGGTTAAGACAGTGCCAAGCCCATAGCCTGTCTGCCCAGTAGACATTTCCTGCCTGAGACCCCTGTGGTGGCCTGTGGGGAAGGGAAGCAGCAGACACCAGAGGGGGAGGTACAGTCAGGAGGTGCCAGCCAGCCCTGGGAGCTGGAGGGGCAGGGCTTCCCGCACCCCCTGCCCTCACCAGAGGAAGGATGGTGCAGGCTGCAGCTTTCTAGGAGTGCTGCTGCCAATCACCCAGAGTGTCCCACCCACCGATGGGAGAGCTGCCTCCTCCTGGGTGCCAATCACCCAGTGTCCCGCCCACGGGATGGGAGTTCTGCCTCTCAGCCTCCCTTTGGGAACCCTGATTCCTGCTCAGAGCCAACAGAAGTGACTTTGAGGCAGGTTGAAGACCCCCTGAATGTGCAAAAAACTGGCATCACCACAGAGCTTTAGGGTGGTTGCGCCCCCGTGGGGCTCTCAGCATGGCCTTGCCTATGCTGTACCTCCTGCGCCAAGGGCCTTACCCACCCACTGGACCCCAGCCCAGTTCCTTGTCCCAGAGGAGCCCAGGCAGCTCTGACTCAGACAAGGCAGGGGCTGCAGGTACCACCAGGCCTGGGCGCCGAAGAGCTCCGCTCAGGTTAGAGACTGTGGGAGGTGCTGGTGGCTCTGGCTAGAGATGGGCAATGCCATCTTTCTGGAACAGCATGGATACAGTTTAGGAGAGCAGCCGCCAAGGTAGGGGCAGGTGGAAGTAGGAACATCCGGGAACCATTCAGCTGACCGCAGCTTCCTTGGCAATGGCAGGGAGCAGCGGCATCTCCAGTTGGGTGGTGGGGGCTGGGAGGACAGGGGGAGTAGCCGGGCTGCCAGGGTCAATACTGAGGAGGAGACACGGCCACCACCTCAATCTGTTCCCTCTGCTAAACTCCTCTCAGGTCAGTTTAGGGGGCTCCCCTGGCTACCTGTGGCCACAACTTCCCAGTCTCTCTCCAATGGATCCCTGGCTTCCCCCACTGGGTCTCCTGCACCGGCTGTGCCAGGACCACTACAGAACCACCCCAGTGGACCCTGAGATGAGAGCAGGCACCATGACCTACAGGTTGAAGAGGGTCACACAGCCATGCTCCCCGCTGAGCCTGCCCCAGCCCCCCCAGGGCGTCCTTCCAGGAAGCCTTTGGGTTCCTGTCTCCGCCCAGCACGCATTACCCTGCAGCTCCGTAACTGTCTGCTGCTCGCTGCCCCGCAGAACGCCACGTCTAACTCAGCCAGCCCTGGCACACAACCCTCCCCGAGCCGGTTCTCACAGGGCCTCCAGGCTCCTGGCTCCTGGCCCTCCGCCCCAGCCAATCGCCGAGCTGTTAGCTGCACGGGCCGGGCACCTTCCGCATCTGCCCTTCTCATTCACCTCGGATCAGAACAGCGTAACCCTCACAGGGCTTCCAGGAAAAACCTCATCTCTGCCTGTCCTCTCTCCTGGCTCTGCCCATCTCCCCCTGGCATTGCGAAGTGCCAGAGTAACCTGTTGCTGGCCTCACATCTCCAAGTCACGGGGGGGCCTGGGTGCCACCCCTGGTTTGGGCCTCCCCATGTGTGGCCACATTTAAAGCACCTCTAACACCTGGAGTGGTGGCCGGGCCTGTGGCAGGGCCACATGGCACCTGCTCGCTCGGTTGCTGGGTACAGAGTGCTCGATGAGGGAGCCCCAGGGCCACATGGCAGGTAGAGCCCTGCAAAGCAGCAGACACGTGACTCAGGCCCCTTCCTGCCCACTGAGCCTGGCCCTGCAATGGCTCATGGGCACCTAGAACCTTCTGGCTCTAAACCCAGTCCCTCGGGCTGGTGCTTGTCTAGGTCCTCGGCTCTGCCGTACCGGGCCAGGCCCTCACGCCCCTGTGCGTTCTACGCTCTGGAATGTAACCTGCGGCTGACCTCGCCGCAGCACCTCCAGCCCTCAGCTCAATTACAGTCATGGGCACCTTGGCACCGGGTCGGCTTGCGTCCAAGGCCACCCCTCAATTAGCAGGCAGACGCTGTCCTGGACTCCAAACCCTCCCTGGCCATGCATGTGTGCTGAGCGCTGCTTACGGCATCTCTGCTGTCTAACTGCATTGCCTACAGCACTGCCAAGCCCCTCTGGGCCTCCTGGTGGGGACCTGGGCCCCAGGACCTCCTGACCACAAGGCCGTTGCACACACTCTCCCCAGCCTGCTCAGGCATTCACCAGACTAGAACCCTCCGCCCCAGCACCTGGGACAGGCCTCACTCTTGCTTCCTGCGCCATCTTTCTTACCCCACTCCCGCCCCTACTTATCTCCTGTGTCTGTCCTAGCCCTGGGACTTGCCTCAGCTCTCTCCCTCTGATATGAATGCAGGAATGACTCAGATCTGAACCAAGATGCACACCGTTTGGTGTCGACAGCCACACGCCCAGACAGGAGCCTGAGGGCTGACGGGACTCCAGTGTCCGTGCACGCTGGACCGGTCAGGGCTGCACTGTAGGCCGGACGTCGGTGGAACACAGCGCACTTAAGAAAGCCCAAGGAGAGGATCATCTCAGTGAGTGCAAAAACGCCTTAAAATCCAGGCACGCTTTTGCAGAATACACCGCTTTGGTGAATTACTGGAAGTGCCTTTGTGGATTTGGGAAATACCAGCTGGTTAGCTGGACACACCTGGACAGTCTGGCCAACCCCCGAGTCCACTCACCAGATCTCAGCAGCCACCTCTCCAGTGCAACCCTGCAGCTGGTTCCCCAAGTTGTGTGGTACCTGGAGCTGCAGGTAACAGCCCCAGGTCCTGCTGGGAGACGTGTGCAGTGGGGCAGGAACTGGCATGGGGGTGTCACGTGACTTACTCATAACCCCAAGTTTTTTTCCTCCCTTGTATAAAGGCAGATTCATGAGGCAAGAACAGATCCTGCTCCTGGCTCCTCCCAGGCCCTGGAGGGGGTGGCTGGCCTCCATCCGCACAGACCATGCTGCCGTGTGCAGGCAGCCAGTTCCCAGCGATGCCAGCTGCAAGCTTGGGAACCTGCACACCGGGCTCCAGGCCATGGTTGCCAACCTGCCTGTCCACCCTCTCCAGAATCTCAGGATATACTCGCACAGGCCTGTCCGCCAACAGACTGCCCTGAGGGATAATTCAACAGTAGCAAATCAAGTGAGAAACAAACAAACAAAAACCAGCATAAACGTGCCTGGTGCCTATCCGTGTGCACACCGACCTGGCGTGTTCTGGGGTGGCCATGACCAATGGGGTACACACGGCTGTAGGAGTGTGGCTTTGGGTCCCTCCCTCACCAGTTCCACTCATGCCTTCAGCTGACGCCTTCTTCACACTGATTATAATTGCGGAGTATCACGCGGGTGTTGTCAGAGCTCCTCCAGGCTAGAAAAAACAGTATGAGTTTCGGCCTGTGCCTTGTGCCCTGTCGCTAGCTTCCTGGGCCGGGTGCTAGCCCCATCCGCCTCTTCCACCTGCTCCCTTCAATGCCCAGACAGAAAGGTGCTCGACCCCAGAGTGCCCTCTCCCCAGCACACAG